TTTTTTTTTTTACTTTTAAATAACTTTAAGCGATTTTTTTTTTTTACATATAAGCAACTTTTACATTTTAGAAAGATTTTTTATCTTATTATTAGTATTTTTATTTTATAATAATTTTTTACACAGGAGCGATTTTTTTTACTTATAAGTAGTTACTTTACAATTATAATTTTTTTTTTTTTTTTGCTTTTAAATAACTTGAAGTAACTTTTTACAACCTACAAATATTTGTTGTCTTATTTGTATTTTTATTTTTTTAATAATTTGTTACATAAAAGTGATTTTTTACTTATAAGTAATTTTTAATTATAATATAATTTTTCCTACCCACATGTAATATTTTACCTATAAAGAAGATGGTTGAGAGATGAGAGTTGGTAGAACGTATGGAAAGCTGTGTCTTGCAACTTATAATTGTAAAGTAACTACTTATGAGTAAAAAAATTAACTTTTATGTAAAAAATTTATTATAAAATAAAAATACTAATAATAAGACAAAAAATATTTCTAAAATGTAGAAGTTGCTTATACGTAAAAAAATTCGCTTAAAATTATTTAAAAGTAAAAAAATAACTTATAATTGTAAAAGTTACTTATAACTTCAAGATTGAGCCATGGTTTGTGTAATAATATAAGCAAATGATTTGATTTGAAAAAGTATGGCCATAAGGTACGAAAATGGAAAGAGAACGTGTGTCAGATTCAAAGTATGTTAGAAGAATCCAGCTAAATATTACCTCCTTCGTACCGTAATAAACAAAAATATATATCATACAAACGATGTTGTTTGCTCCCAAAAAAAATAAAAAATAAAAAATGAAAGAATCTAATATTCTTTCTACGGTGGATCAAGATTGTCCTTTTTATATAATAGGGAAAAGACACGACCTAAGTTGGGTATCCATTGGAACAGTAACTCCCATTAACAAGTGCTGCTTTCTTCGTATTTTTCAGACGGAGCCATTTTCACTTTCCGTTCACCCGCAGAGAATAAAAGTCCTCAGGAGCTAGAATTTTATAGGGGCATAATTTGGTATCTCGCGAATTTTCTTCAGGTGAAAATTGTCCTAATTACAAACCCTAAATTTCAAGTTTAATTATAATATTTAAATGATAATTTGAATTAGGTTTTAGGATTCCATTTTTCCCTTTTGTTAATAGTTTTTAATTTTTCAATTAGTATTTTGTAGGAATGTATCGTATTCAATTCAATTGAAAATTTGATGCAGCTGATTTTATTTTATAAAATTTCACGAAAATGAATCATGTTTAGTTCCTGGTTATTATTGGAAACCGTATGTTGACTCTTGAGTAATAATTCTTCATATAGACTCGTGCTCGAGTTACATGCTGAACTTATGGCTTTGTCAAGCTTTACATCTGTGTGTTTACTTGTTGATCATACTAATATACATTGTGCTATCTGCATTGTCAGGTCTGAAAGCACTCAGCTCCATTATGACTTCCGCAGTTCTTACCCTCTCAGGTAATTTTATTTTGATACTGGTGATACACGAATATTTTTCTCCAATTTCTTTTAGAAATTTAATTCTGTTACCCTTACGCACAGAATTTAGAGAACTAAACAAGTTGGACCCTTTTTGGTTTGATATGTGTCGATGGAAAACTTTTCAAGGAAGTGAATGGAAATATTATTACATTTCAATGGTAGGCGAAGACCACTGATAGTGTGTTTAATATTTTAATTTTAGGTTACAAAAAAACGTTGTTGATCATTGTAATCTGTCATTTTGCTGCAGGAGTAGTGTAACACAATTTTAAAATTTCGTAGTTAGTCTATCACTATGATGTGATTATACAATCAAATTATGATTTTTTCTGTGAGTTTCTGGATGCTTTGTTATACATTAAACGACCATATCATCCCCCTTGTTTGCTGGCAAAGGACCATAGATTAAGGACTGTAATAACAAGCAATTGAATTTTACTTGTAAGAAGTTTTATCTCATTCAGTCTTTATTTTTTTATAGTTCAAAATAATGCCAGGAAGTGGGTCTACATTAAAGTTGTTACTTAAAGTACCGCGTTAGCCAAAAATGATTCATCCACCTAGAGCTGATATCCTAATGAATGATCCACATCAATGTTCTTCTTCAACTGAAATCTATGTCTGAACCAGTGACTTATCATTGCTTCTTTATTGGAAACATAAGATATAGTAGTTTATGCATTGAAAAATCTTAAGAACTGTTTCAATTCATGAAGCCTGGCCTTCTCGAACATAGCCTGCAATTCAGTCATCAGTGATCATCTTTGCTTCTTTCTACCTCATTCTGTGGCCTCATCTTTGTTCAGTTAATGGGTACACTTATTCATGTACTTACTGATCAACTTTAATCATTAACATATCTTTATGGAAAGGTCGCCAATCAAGATCAATGACCAATTGACACTGGTAGCCACAGGTCTTCTGGTATTCTTCTTCCATGATAATGTATGACTCGCATAGATGCACTTTCAATTTACAAGGCGGTATGGAATTTTAATGATATTTTTCAGAAGACTGATATCTTTGAACTTGAGACTGTGAAGGCATGTGAGACAAAAATGGTGTTAGGGATGAGAGCAGTCATGTTTGTGCACCAGGTTTTCGTTAGTTCGATTGAGAAATGGAAGTATAAAACCTATGGTAGGATTAATGGGAAAAATGAACTTGGGATACACCATACACGTTCCTCACGAAGCAATGCATTTTTTTTTGTTTTTGAAAGTATGAAGTAATGGTGTACTGACAATGACCTTTTTGTCCCATTTGGTGCCTTTGGCATAGTTATGCGATTATTGCATAATCATGGTTGCTCTAAATAGAGAACAATTAAAGAATTGGACTAACTTTTGGTGTCTGACGAAGTAAGGGGTTAAACTGCATCTGGTTTGGTAATGTTGTTTTTGTTTGTCATAGTTTTTATAACACAAAATTGATGCAATTACCTTTTAAAAAAAAATACTCGTGCTTGGCTTATAATGTTGCAATCACACAGCTGATATGCTGGAAGGCATAGTTTCTTCTCTTCATTCTACTTATTGACCATAATTGGAAGCACTTGGTAATTTTTTTTTTTTTTTTGGTTTTTATGCGAAACTTGAACATTTTAAATCTCTCCTCTGAAGATAGTTTTTATGCATAAATTCTATGTGTTTTGATTATGGAATAAATTGGTGTTATGCAGATAATAGTGAGGCTTATGAGCAACAAAAGTACTCAGAGCCTCAGATCCAGTCTAATGCGACGTCTCATTCTGGTACTGCGTTTCCAAATATGAATTATGCAATGCCCGCTCAACTTAGTGCTGAAAATGCTGTGGTACTATTTGATTCACTGTTTTTGCTTTAAAATGCAACGGCAAGTATACCATCCTGACAATTAGAAGTGCTGCTATCGAGATATATTTAGCTAATTTTATGCTTAAGTTCTGATGTTAAGCTGAACGGTGAGCATTGATGATTACTTGTTCTCATTCTTCATCACTATTGAAAAATTAAATTTTGCAGGCACAAACACCTTATTCATATTCAGATCCTTACTATAGAAGTATCTTTGCTCCTTATGATGCACAACCTTATCCTGCGCAGCCTTATCCAGCCCAACCAATGTTATTCCTTGTGATAAAGCTCATGTGAATGGAACTAGCCTGTAGATTTGAAATTTTGAGTTCAACTCTTCCTCAATTTAGGTCTTCTTCACTTAAACAACCTATCTGCTCTTCGAGCACCTGTTTCTCCCCTTCAGTTGATGGGAATTCATCAAGTTGTTGTTCCTTTGCCATTGGATGCCGATGAGGAGCCTGTATTTGTCAATGCAAAGCAATATCATGGCATCTTGTGACGTCAACAATCTCGTGCAAAGGCTGAGTCTGAGAATAAAGTTGTCAAGCCCCAAAAGGAATTTTATGGGATTGACTCCTGGCCTGTTGTTGCATTTCTCTATTACTTCATCCATTTGATTCAATCCAAATTTTGCTTTGATACACAATCTTAGTACCACTCCAACAAGGTGACTTGTGCTGTCTTATTTTCTGGTTCATTGATCCAGCTCTTTTGCACACCTATCAAAACATGAAGATGCACACTACACGGATCTTCATGCCACAGGGGCGTTGCCCCTGCACCCCCAACCTATTAAGCATCAAGCATCCCTGGCAAACAATCAATAAATACATGCCCGAAAGGTTGACGCTGTCAATCCGCTCCGTTGCGTTCAATGCGTTCCACTCTGACATTGTCCTATTTTTCTAGTATACATGTTTTCCACTCTATATGAAGCACATATTATAATAGGAGATAAATCATTTTATGGGAAAGGGAGAACAGCAATGAATATTTTCTTTCCTTCCTAATCATGTGATTTTTCAAAATCTAAAATCTTTTGTGGAGAGAAATCATTCCCTCCCATTTTCCTTCATACACAATCAATGGAAACCATTTTTATCTTTCATATTTTCTTTCCTGGTCATTCAGTCTTTCCAGCTTTCCACCTTATCAAACACATTCTATTGGGACCAAGCGAAGAAATGCCTCTACTCTCTTCGATTTTTTGGTAATTGCCTGAAAACCATCTAAAAGCTAGATAATTCTGCATTTTTAAATCATCTTTTTCTTAACATTGTTAATTTATTGGTTTATAAATGCATTACTGTTCTGTTTCCCCTTTTCTACTAATTATAGATAGTCTGGCTAAGGTCCGGTTAGTTGGGTCGTTCATGTTTTAGTTTTTTGTTTTACCATTAAAATGGGGTTGCAGGAGGCAGAAAATTCTAAATTGGCAAAGTCACATATGCTTTGAATAACTGACCATGCTAAGATCTCCCCCATTTATAGCCATGTATTTTCTAGTATCCAAGTATTACTACTAACCATTCAACTTATTTTGTAGCCCTATTTGGATGAATCTCGACAGTTGCATGCTGTGAGAAGGGCTCGAGAAGGAGGTCAATTTAAAAGGAAGAGTGAGAACCAGCAGCAGGAGTATGAATCAGGTGAGGAATCACAGGCCAACCTAAATCTGAACTCTGACAAAAAAGATCCTACCTCTTCAGAAAATGGCTCCTGAAGATTTGATTTTCCGCTGTTGGCCATAATGAGACGGTTAGAATAGTTAGTTTTGGTGGTTTATTAGGGCAGAAGGGTTCAATATTAGTGTTCCTTGTACAAAATGAGCAATAGGTTTGTAGGGAGTTGTGAAATGGCTAGATATCATGAATTTCGAAAGTATAGTAAGTAGTTAAATTCTCCAGTGATGGTTCTCCCTCGAGGAATGTTAGTCGAGTTGCTGTAGACTTTCTTTTACAGTTTTAACTTAGAGATAAGCGACCAAGTTTTTAGCATTGGGATTATGTTCTGTTATGGTTTATGGAATGAGTCGTCATGTTTTTATTACTGTTAATATACACAGTAAGTTAGTTGCTTAGACCGAAAACTTTTGGTTGACGAAGTGGATATTTTCTTGGTTCTCTTATTTTCTTCCTTTACTGTGAGATTAATTGGTAGGCAGTAGCTGCCACAGAAGCTTCCGATGCTTGCCAACTGTTCGGTTTATTTTCTTCATGTTGGTCGTGATGTTAGTCCCGTTTCATTGCATATGTAACTCCCTCTTTCTGGGTTTAATTTATTTTGCTCATTCTGTGGAGTTTATGGCGTATAAGCATGTGCAGCACAGTGCTGGACAAGACTACGACATGATTGGGGGGAGCTTATCTTAAATGTGTGACTAATGTTGTTTTCAACCCATATCAAGACGAAAGAGCATTCGATGCTTTGAAGAAGGTCTTGCATGGGAAAATTTTATTTTATTTCCTTTGGGACTAATCATTAGTGTCATTTTTGGGAATATGCATAGCTATAGTTTTGTTTTGGTTTGCAAGCTTTATTAAAAGAGCTATGCTACAATGACAAAGGGAGTTGACAAAGTTAGGTTACAAAATTAAATTTACACCAATCATTTTAAAAACAGATTTTTGAATTATTTGAAATAAAGGGTTCAGATTTTGTCAAAACACTTTGGCACTCCACTTTTGTACACCAACTTTGTAGGGGTAGAATTATTCTTATTAAAAAGCCAGCAATTAACAAAATTAGGACACAATCTAACAGTGTTTTGATGCTGACTTTGATTTGGTAACATTAGTTAGTTGGATGGTCGCTTTCAAAAATATAATCAATCTTGGTTCACTGTTTGTCCGATTTAGGACACTTTGACGAATAAAATTCGTATTCTTTGGCATCACTCATAATCATAGCAATGCATTATAGTAAGATTTTGGGATATTATTTGAGGCAAAAGGAATTTTTAGGGTCTTCCCTTGCATGAGCATCCAATCAAGCTTTGTTTCCATGACTACCTTTACAACCCTTAATCATTTACATATACAATGGACCCCACCTCTCTCTCTCTCTCCCCCTTGCATACATGCATTCATACATATGTGTCAACCATGTTATGGGAGAGAGGGTGCCTGAGCGATTATAAACTCAAAAACCAAGTGATAACATTGAAGTCATTACATTACGTCTCTTCTTCTTCTTCTTTCATTATCGACATTTATTGTGGTCCATGTTTCCATTTATGTGACTTCTTACATTGGTTAGATCAATCGCTTTGCTACGATATTTATCCCTAGAAAGGGTACCCATTTTGGCACAAATTGTAACTATCATGTTTGGTAAAACTCGTATTTGAAATCAAAGAATATGGAGTGATTATCAACTAAAATTAAATGACATGTGTGTTTTGAATATGTATGTATGTATGTACAAAGAGAGAGAGAGAGAGAGCGAGAGAGGGGTAACATGTAAGCAAAGGCACATATTTTTTCAAGAAGAGACGAGAGAAAAGTATTAAATTCGCATGGTGGGGCTTGAAGAAGGCACAACTCGAGACACTACTGGTATTGGTGCATGAGCATCACAAAAAATGGGGCCCAATTAGTGTGGGCCCACTGGGGCAGCTGGAAAGGGTGCTTCCACTTTCCGTTTAATTTTGCGAATTCACGCAATGGGATTATGGACATGCCTAAGTGGGCCTACCCCATTGGTGGGGCCCTCTACCCTCGCAAAACCCTTTACTACACAACCAAAAGGAAATGTAATAAATCAAAAACGAAAAGATATATTGATGTGTGTTGTTTTCGAAAGCGTTATTGCATTGTAGTTTTGAGATATTTGTGATCTAGTTCGTGATTTTGAAATTCATGATGTATGGATATTACTTGAGTATCTATAAATATACATAATCGAAGAATTCTCTATAGGCTATTTACAAAAGAGAGAGAGTGGAGAAGATACATTTTTGAATCCATTGAATTGTAATTCGGTTCCAATGATTTTTTACACTCTATGAGAGTGATCAAAATCTCACTATAAACTTGTATCGAGATGTTATCAAATTTTGATTTGAATTGGATTTAAAATGTCTTATGGTTCTCTTATTTGACCACACATAGCTCAAATCATAGGACACAGTACTTAAAAATTATTTTTTTAGGAAATAAATTAAAATTTTATTAGCAAGAAATGTGATGCATGTCAACCTAGCGAAATCTAAAAGTACTTTTCTCTATCTCTTGGATTTATTTTGACTTTTTGAGTGAATCAAATGGATGGTGGTAGTGGGAAACGCTTTCAAGTGTCACGAAAAGTGTAGGGTTTGTTGGCTGTCAAATTGTCAATCCACCTTTTTCAAATTTAGCCTTTTTCGCCCACGAGAAATTAAAATTAATTTATTTTTCTTTTCTTATCAATCACATATTTTTTAATAGAATAATATTACACATAAAAAAAATCATTTCATTTTAACCATACTTCATTCAAAATTTAATTTTAGTGCTTGTTTGGTAGAGATTTTGAGAATTAATTTTTTGACCGATAGAGATAATGTGAGTGCTACCTGTGAAAGAATAATTCAAAAATGACGACTGAAATAGTAAAATAATGATAAAAAAAATTGATTTTAATTTGCTTAAAATCGCTTATAAAATTTCTTAATTAATCCCATTTTCCTAGAACCTTGAAGTTTCATTTCAAAAGGCAACAATTTTAAGGCGGACACCCTGAACCCTAACATATGTACACTCTTTTGAACTTTTAAACTTTGAATTGTCGTACTTGATAATTTCTTAGGTTTCGTTTGGTACACATTAATGTAAAATAGAATGAAAAATATAGTCGTTATGAGCCCCATACAAAAAATAAAAAGTCAAATATGGTGACTTAATGTAATAAATAACGGTCATATTTTCATTTTAATAAGCAAATAATGGGAATCAAATGGGGACTTAAAATATTAACATTTTGACTAAGGGTAGTCAACGTCCTTAGTGATGTGTTTAAAATCAATTGAATTGCTCGTTAGTTTGATATTTGATATCGAATCGATGATCGAGGTTTCTCGTAAAAAATTGTAGCACACACCTTTATAAATGATTATGTGTTGTTTTAGATTTAAACCGAATATTTTTAATATTTTTGTGGCATGTCTTGAAATGCAATGTTGTCCCCAAATCACACAATCATTATTTGTTTAGAGAACCATAGCCATGACATGCTGATGTACGCATACATGCATATTTCAGCAATAAATGCATTCAAATCTTTTTCACTGTTCTGTGTATCTCTGTTACTCTTACATATGTAGGACGAATACAAATACTTTTCTTCAACATTTCTAGCAAATGTAACTATTATTATTATTCAAGAAAATAAAAATAACTACAAATCAAATACTTCCACTAATTTTGATAACTTAATTTATATGGGACAATAAAAAATAAGATGCTTAGTCGAAAAAATAAATCTAAATTCAATTAGTTTATCTATCTTTCTAGTTATTTTTTAAAACTAAAAATATTCTCTTTAAGTTTGTGTAAAACTTAGTGATAAGTGTAGTTTCTACATTTATTTGGGATCCTGAACGATAATATTTTGTTATTCTTTGAACGTATTAGTACTTGATTTGTTATTTATTGCTTTTATTAGGAAAATTTTACGTTTCAAAGAAAAATTGAAAAAAAGAACGGAAAATGACTAAATGAAGCAAATCCAATGTATGAGGACCAAAATGTAAATATTTAATGGTTGATTTGGACCATAAAAGATATTTTGAAGATTGATGGGTGTCAATTGAATATAAATTGGAGTAAAAAAGGAAAGGGATATGATTAGAATATTACCATAAATCGACTTCCAATCATATATGATATCTTTAAGATTTTTGATCAACTTGAGACCCATTTTTCGGATGGAGAATGTATGAATTGGAAAAATTGTATTTCTAGAAGAGTTGTAGATCTTTTAATTAACTTTTCAATGCACTTTAAATCACTTAAATCGGACATCAATAGAGCAAGTTACGATCAAAATATTTTTCTTACATATGTAGTACGAATACAAATACTTTTCTTCAACATTTCTAGCAAATGTAACTATTATTATTATTCAAGAAAATAAAAATAACTACAAATCAAATACTTCCACTAATTTTGATAACTTAATTTATATGGGACAATAAAAAATATGATGCTTAGTCGAAAAAATAAATCTAAATTCAATTAGTTTATCTATCTTTCTAGTTATTTTTTAAAACTAAAAATATTCTCTTTAAGTTTGTGTAAAACTTAGTGATAAGTGTAGTTTCTACATTTATTTGGGATCCTGAACGATAATATTTTGTTATTCTTTGAACGTATTAGTACTTGATTTGTTATTTATTGCTTTTATTAGGAAAATTTTACGTTTCAAAGAAAAATTGAAAAAAAGAACGGAAAATGACTAAATGAAGCAAATCCAATGTATGAGGACCAAAATGTAAATATTTAATGGTTGATTTGGACCATAAAAGATATTTTGAAGATTGATGGGTGTCAATTGAATATAAATTGGAGTAAAAAAGGAAAGGGATATGATTAGAATATTACCATAAATCGACTTCCAATCATATATGATATCTTTAAGATTTTTGATCAACTTGAGACCCATTTTTCGGATGGAGAATGTATGAATTGGAAAAATTGTATTTCTAGAAGAGTTGTAGATCTTTTAATTAACTTTTCAATGCACTTTAAATCACTTAAATCGGACATCAATAGAGCAAGTTACGATCAAAATATTTTTCTTACATATGTAGTACGAATACAAATACTTTTCTTCAACATTTCTAGCAAATGTAACTATTATTATTATTATTCAAGAAAATAAAAATAACTACAAATCAAATACTTCCACGAATTTTGATACCTTAATTTATATGGGACAATAAAATATATGATGCTTAGTCGAAAAAATAAATCTAAATCGACTAGTTTATCTATTTTTCCAGTTATTTTTTAAAACCAAAAATATTCTCTTTAAGTTGGTGTAGAACTTAGCTTTCTTTGACAATCGTTATTTCAAAATTATTTATTTTACATTATCATTTTCAACCATACATTTATATAATCAAATATTCTTTACGTAAATCTAAAACATTTTCTTACTTTTTAAGCACACATTTTTCGAAAACTCGCTATTTAAAACAAATTTTTTTGCCAAATAATTGCCATCAATAGGGGCTAAATTGTCTTGATCTTGATTTATCTTCAACTACAACACCTTCACTAGTTGTTAGGATGATCTTCTTTCTCATTTACTTGAACTGGTATGATCATAAGTCCATTGCTAATTAACTATGATTTCTTATATGTTACCTTTTCCTCCATTTGGCAAAATTTATAAATAATAAAATTTGATTTTCAATTATATATTGTGCAAGTATTAAACGCTTATTTATCACATATTTCCATCTAAGTCTTTGTTTGACAATCATATTTTTCAAAAAATAAAAGTTTTGGATAGCAATTTTTAGGGGAATGTGTGGTTAAAAAGTAAGAAAAAAATTTAAATTTACATATAGAATATTTTATTATGTGAATGTGTAGTTAAAATAAGCATAAAAAAGAATTTGAAAAGCATTTTTTCATTATGAGCTTGTTTGGTTTGATTAAAATCTGATTTTAATTTAAGTCAGAGTCAAACAATCAATATTAATCATATTTTTATGAATTTCATGACTTTTCAACAAAAAATTTCTATACAATTTACTAAAAAATTTAATTTTAATTCCCGCGAAAACGAAAAGCATTTTTTTTTCTTGTACTCCACCCCAACCCCAATTCTACCTTCGTGTATATTCAAGTATATATAGTAGTCGCCCCCCGGGTGGTGCAAAGGACGGGAGTGAGGTTATCTCATACCTTGCTAGCAGTCGCAGTATGGGGGTTCGATTCCTGAGATATGAAATTTGATTTCTTGTAGGCGCAGTGTACGAGCAGTTCTTGTTCCCTGGCCTTCTGGGGCATATTCCGCAATTTACTTCCCTCACAAACCTCTAGGGTCGGGCGGTTGGAGCCCTCAAGATTGGGGTTGAACCTTTTTTTTTTGCTTTTTTTTAAGTATATACAGTAGTCTCTCTGTCTACATTTTACCTTTTTCTGAACCCCCTCTCTCTGTAGACTGTATATATTCAAGTATATACGGCAATGGATTCTCTCTCTACATTTCACTTTCTTTGAAATTCTCGAGATTTTCTTTCAAGATAAAGACTAGGGTTCTCTGCTCAAATCTCTTTCCAACCCACTCCTCTTTGTTCTACCCTGCTTTACAAAATCGCCCTCTGTTATCCTCTCTGCAAAAACACACTGCCTCGATGAGTGAGAGAGGAGGCTCTCTGTGAGAAGAGAGCCTGCCTGTTCATGCAACTATCACGAACACACCATTAATCATCAAAAAAAGCAACTTTTTTCAAAGATTTTCACACTTTATTTTTGGGTAAACTCTAATGGCTCTTCAAATGCACAGAGAAAGCAACAGTAGTGGTAGTAGTGGCAAGCAGCAAATGGACGCCAGCAAGTACGTGAGGTATACGCCAGAGCAAGTGGACGCTTTGGAGAGGGTCTATGCAGAATGCCCAAAGCCCAGCTCTTTGAGAAGGCAACAACTCATTAGGGAGTGCCCTATCCTTTCTAACATTGAACCTAAGCAGATCAAAGTCTGGTTTCAGAATCGTAGGTATTGTCCAAACTTTAAATAGTTTTGGTTTTCTTTAATGCTTTGTTTTTACATTTGTTATCTAAAAAATGAGGTCTTTAAATAGAATGTGGGGTTTTTTAGGAATCAAATGTTTTTATAATTCTTTCTCCTTGTAAGGTTTATTTTGAGTTATAGTATAGATACTTTAAATAATAAAGATAGATGGGCCTTCTTTTCTCCAGTGTGCTGTTGGAGAAAATACTGAATTTTTTTGTATTTGTTTTCTTTCTTAAAAGTATTTTTTTCGTTGTTGTGTGTATTTATAGAATAATTTGGTGAAAATGATTTTGGTTCCTCTTTGTGAACAAAAAATGCTACCTTTGATTTTTCACTCTTTTCTTTGCTGAAAAAGACTTTGGTTCCTCTTCGTGATTTGTGAACAAGAATGTCATCTTGATTTATCACTCTTTTGTTTGCTTTAATGGCAACCGATGGAGGTTTTCCCCTTTGGAAAATGGGGTGCCTGAAAAAAGGAGTAGTTGATGCACTCTTTCGACGTGTTACTCTACTGGAATCTGCCATTTTCTTTATCCTTGGAAGATAGCCATTTGAGGAAAAATTGTGGCTTTTGAAGGCTTAAATTTTGATTCTTGATTCGATTTGTCTCTTTTCCCCAAAATGGCTTTCGGTACTCCGTTGAGACAATCTTTTTGTCAAAACGGCTCTTTTCCTCAAAATGGCTTTGCATATAGAAAAGTTTGTGAGAATGTAAAGAATATTGTAACTCTCTCGTTGATTGTTCATTGTTTCATATCTGTGTTTTGGAAACCTTCTGATCTTCTAAAATCATTGTCAGAAATTAATGCTGTGTAATGTGGTATCATACTTGTAAGCAGTGCATTGTTTTTTTGGTCATTTATCAATGTCAATAAATTGGTCTTGTTATCCCGTTGTTTTATGATTTTTAGTACGAGTACTTGCATAACGAACAACAATCTACAGTGTTTCGATGTAGTTTATTTTTATTTTTAATTTTTTTTTGGTTATCCATTTCTTATTTTAGGGTTCTTTGTTTGAATCTCGATTTAGTGGATTTTTCTAGCTTCTTTACTTTTGGTAGTTTTATCCGTTTGGCTTCCTTACTTTTGGTAGTTTTAGTGTTGCATAACAGATAATGAGATTTAGTTTTGTTGTATTGTTTACTTGAGATGTCATAATTGCCATTTGTTTTTTTGTGCTTTCAACAATGCCATATGTAATTTGTCTATCCTCAAACTTCTTCAGAGATTTTTCGAAAGGAGTGAAATAGTTTCCATGTTTTATTGCTTGCTTTAGTTTAGAATAGAACAAATAATATGTACCTTTTATTATATGGCTCAATTGCTGAAATTCATTTACTCTGATTTAGGTCTTGAAATTACTTCTAATAATGCCTAATTTTCCTTTTTGCATAATTTGAAATAGTCACTCCTTTCTTAAAAAGATCTGATTTAGATGTGCCTTTTGTGTCATTGAGTGAAATATATTTGATTTGATACTTTTACTTGGCTTAGGCTAGATGTGTTGGAGAATTTTGTGTGTGAATAAAATGTTCAGACTTTAGATCGTTGTTGTGTAAGGTTGGAAAAGCAAGTGAAAATTCATTATTTTTGAGATATACTAGTTAACGACAGAACTTTACTTCTGTGAACGAGGATGCCACAGGTCATGTAAATTCATGCTCAAGTCAACTACCCCGTTATTGGTTCTAGTATCATATTCATGAAATGTGATCTGTTATTCCAAGGAGCTGAAATTCCTGATAGTTTTTAAGAAACACGACTTCCATTTTCTTTCTGTAGATGCCGTGAAAAGCAAAGGAAGGAGGCTTCTCGTCTCCATACGGTTAACAGGAAGCTGAGTGCCATGAACAAGCTGTTGATGGAAGAGAACGACCGCTTGCAGAAGCAGGTTTCGCAGCTGGTTTATGACAATGGTTTCATGCGTCAGAAACTGCACACAGTAAGTTTGATTAATTTTTTGCCAACAATCACTTCTTTGTTGGATCTTCTACGCGATCTTGCAACTATGAGTACGTATGACAATCTTCTAAACAATTGTGCTTGATTAATATAATGTAAGAATAATGTTCTTCTTTATGTCTCCCTTTAAGTCTTAATACCACGACCTCTCTCTGCTCTTTATCATTCAGCCTTTTGAAATCATTTGAACCTTAATGCATTTTAATAGGCAAGTACAACCACCACGGATACCAGCTGTGAGTCTGTGGTCGTGAGTGGTCAGCAGCAACAACATAACCCAACACCTCAGCATCCCCAAAGGGATGCTAATAGCCCAGCTGGGTATTTACTCTGTCTCCTAACCATTTTGATCTGCTTATGATTGGTGTCTTGGTCAACATGTGACCCCTTTTTTTCACACTGTCAGTCTTCTTGCAATCGCTGAGGAGACCTTGGCAGAGTTTCTTGGAAAGGCTACTGGAACTGCTGTCGACTGGGTTCAGATGATTGGGATGAAGGTATTTGTTTAATTTCAATCCACTTCATTTCAGACATTATTTCCTCTCTCTTCAAGGGTTCAAACTTTGTCTTGCTTGGCACATAATATTTTCTTTCTTTACAGCCTGGTCCGGATTCTATTGGCATCGTTGCTGTTGCCCGCAATTGTAGTGGGGTTGCAGCACGAGCCTGTGGCCTCGTGAGTCTTGAGCCCACGAAGGTAGTTTTGTAACTTCTATTTGTTATATGTACTTGCTAAATTCCATAGGAGTTCTGCTTGAACATGGTTTCTCATGCAGCTTGCTGAAATTCTAAAAGATCGTCCTTCTTGGTTTCGTGACTGCCGTTGCCTCGATGTTGTGAGTGTAATTCCTATTGGAAATGGAGGGACTATAGAGCTCATATACATGCAGGTTACTCATCTTTGCTGATAACTTTAGTCTATGTTAAGTTGTCCTCAGTCATGGAATTTCTTATAGTTTACTAGATATTTGCAATTTGTTCAAGTGTTCCTTTCTTTTTTAGATGTATGCCCCAACAACATTGGCATCAGCTCGTGAATTTTGGATGTTGAGATATACTACAAGTTTGGAAGATGGCAGTCTTGTGGTAAGCATGATTATGATTTCAATTTTTCTTAGTCATGCACTTCCAAAAACCTTTGAACTTTTCATTCATGGAACCTTTTTCTTTATTCATCTCTTTCTACAAGGAAAGTGTTATATCATAACTTTTTTTACTTAGAAATCTCGCCATAGGTATGCCATTGTATAATTATAATAATACAAAATACTAATTTGTACCCTATAATGTTTACTGAACTGTAAAACCTGCAGATATGTGAGAGGTCGCTTACATCTTCAACTGGTGGCCCAAGTGGGCCTCCTGTTTCTTGTTTTGTGAGAGCTGAAATGCTGCCCAGTGGTTGCCTGATACGCCCTTGTGAGGGTGGTGGCTCCATTATTCATATCGTCGATCACATTGACTTGGATGTAAGGAATAACCCTGCCCATTCTTTGTTTTAGTTTTTCAGCCTCTCTTATCTTTTATTCTGCGACAGGCTTGGAGTGTCCCTGAAGTTCTAAGGCCACTTTATGAATCATCCAAAATTCTTGCACAGCAGATGACTATGGCTGTGAGAACATTATCCTTTAGGATGTTTGGCTATAAATATTTAGTTTTTGCCTTTCAAATTATTCAATTTATTCCTTGTCTTTCATTCAGGCTCTGCGCTATGTAAGACAAATTGCTCAGGAAACTAGTGGAGAGATTCAATGTAGTGGTGGTCGCCAACCTGCCGTGCTGAGGGCATTAAGTCAAAAGTTGTGCAGGTGAGAAACTTAACACATGAGGATTACATTAAAAATGAGGAACCAACTGAAATGCTGAAATCAATTTCTGTTGATATTTGAGTTGGAACTCACTTGGCCTCTGAAATACTAAAACTTACTTTGGAACTGGCTTGGCCTCTGAAATGCTAAAACTTGCTGCACTTTCTGTTTTTATTCTTCTGATATATGTCTATTTTGTGCACATATTGTTAGGGGATTCAATGATGCTGTTAATGGATTTATCGACGACGGTTGGTCAATTATGGGTAGTGATGGGGTAGACGACATTACCATTGCCATTAACTCGTCTCCAAGTAAATTTCTTGGTTCTCAGAGTAACAGTTTGTCCATGCTTCCAACTTTTGGGGGAATCCTTTGTGCGCGAGCATCAATGCTTCTTCAGGTTAGTTGACTAGATCATGGGGCATAATGTTTTGTTTGGTGTTTTTACCTGTTCTCTTACAACTAGTTTCATGATCTACAAAAATCCATCCCAATTTTTTTATGATTATATATGCAGGATGTACCCCCAGCTTTGCTCATCCGTTTCCTGCGGGAGCACCGCTCTGAATGGGCCGACTATGGTGTTGATGCTTATTGTGCTGCATCTCTTAAAGCTAGTCCCTATGCTGTACCTTGTGCAAAGCTGGGTGGTTTCCCTAGTAGTCAAGTAATTTTACCTCTTGCACAGACAGTGGAACATGAGGAGGTAGCCGTGTTCTTTGCCTATTCCCTTTCACCAAATCGAGCATTTGCTTAATTTTTTTTAAACTCTTTTTACACGTTTTGTGTAATAAAACAATCTTCATGTCAACCTAGTTTCTGGAGGTGGTTCGTTTAGAGGGTCATGCATTCTCCCCAGAGGACCTGGCCTTGTCACGCGATATGTACTTGTTACAGGTTTGGTCATTAATTCTAATCTGATGTATAGTTAACTACAGATTTTTACTTTTACTTAAATATAAAAGACCATTTATTATCGATCTATTTTGTTTATGTTAATTTTTATTTTAATTCAACATGGCAGCTATGCAGTGGGGTTGATGAAACTTCTGGATCCTGTTCTCAACTTGTCTTTGCACCAATTGATGAATCATTTGGTGATGATGCTCCTTTGCTGCCATCTGGTTTTCGTCTTATACCATTGGATTCTAAAACAGTAGGGTGACACAACACCTTTGATTTTACGTTCTAGCTCAAAACATGCTTTTCTTTCCCTTTTCTTGGATTTTGAAAGGACACTGTCAATTGCTAGTACTCGTTACGCTTGGGAGAGACTGTTATACGGGTTTGATTATGCTATTATTTTCTACAATTATTTACTCTTCATGTAGCAGGATGGGCAAGGAGCAACCCGAACACTGGATTTGGCTTCTGCACTTGAAGTTGGTCCAGGTGGTGCTCGTCCAGCTGGGGAAATTGATGCTAGTAATCAGAACCTTAGGTCTGTTTTGACTATTGCATTCCAGTTTGCTTATGAAAATCACTACAGAGACAGCGTAGCTGCTATGGCTCGTCACTATCTGCGTAGTATTGTGGGCTCAGTTCAGAGAGTTGCTATGGCAATAGCCCCATCTCGGCTCAGTTCCCATATGGTGCCCAAGTCACTTCCTGGTTCACCGGAAGCTGTTACATTGGCTAGATGGATTTGCAGAAGCTATAGGTATGAAGTTTAGAAAATGTCACTAGAAATATATACCCCGTTAACGCACATGCGGTACACAAGACATGATAGGACTATGGTAGAATGTACAAAAATTTGGGTCTTTATCTCGACACTTTTCAAGTCCTCCCTACCAAACACGCCATTATTGGAACAAACATTATGCCCCTGTTTGACAACCTTTAAAATTTAAAATTGTTTGCTACAGTATCATTCACCACACATTCATACAATAAAATATTCTACACTCAAACCAATAAAGTTTCCTTTTAACTACAAATTCTCTAAAAAATACTATTCAAAACTCTTTAATTTTTAACATAATGGGTGACAAACGGGGCCATAGGGCAGTTTGTACATGTTTTGGGATTCGCAGCAATACTGACAGTAGTTCTTCTACCCTAAAAGAGTAACTGAGAACTCGGATTAATGTATGCAAGCTATCTATTCGAGCGTCCCTCTTTATAATAGGCCATTTAGCCTTGTTTTCTTAGTCTTATAAAATTGTTTACGAACTTTCTTATGTCTGTCTCTGCTGATCATCTGTTTCTGGTGTTTAAGGGTGCACCTTGGAAGAGATCTCTTTCAGGTTGATGCACAAGCCAGTGACGCAGTTCTGAAACAACTCTGGCACCATACGGATGCAATTATGTGCTGCTCTGTCAAAATGAATGTTAGTGAAGTTTTATTATTTTTCTGTCGTATTTTCTTTACCATTGATTGCTTGGATTTTGCTTTAGAGTGCTCTTTGTACAAGTAGTCAATAGAAAATTTTGACGGGTGGAGGAATTGGTAAATGCAGGCATCAGCAGTTTTCACATTTGCTAACCAGGCCGGCCTGGACATGCTAGAAACTACTCTGGTGGCCCTTCAAGACGTAATTCTCGAGAAGATTCTGGATGAAGCTGGTCGAAAGACTCTACTGTCTGAATTCTCCAAGATCATGCATCAGGTCAGGCTCGCAATATTTCTTTGCTGATTAATTTGCAGATACCAAAGGCATATTTATTGGCGTAACATGTTAGGATTTCAGTAATATCTTAATCATTATTTTGGTTCAAACTGCAGGGCTATGCCTACCTGCCGTCTGGAGTATGTGTTTCAAGCATGGGTCGGCTAATCTCTTACGAGCAAGCAATCGTCTGGAAGGTCGTGAATGATGATGATTCCAATCACTGCCTAGCTTTCATGTTCATAAACTGGTCCTTCGTGTAAAGGATTAGGAACTCCGTTCAGAATTTACACAAACTTATGGGGCCTTTTTTAAGTTATTTGTACTTTATTTTGTCAAGAACCCTGTTGTGCAAGACATATTTAACTAGGTTTTGAACTTTTGAGAGGCCTCTTGTCTCTAACAATCTATGCATGTGTGTTTTTCTTTCTAGCCTCCTAGTTTCAGCTGTATGGTGTCATTAAATTGCGTAATTATTTAACATTTGACCATTATGGATCTAACTTGTTCATCGTCGAAGGACATTAAAATCTTTTAAATTATTACAAGGAAAAAAGGGTACTGACTTTTGAAATTAAATCTGAAAATATTGTCCGTTTCATCATTTTGAAAGCGATAGGTGCAGGATTTTG